ATTTGGTTTTGCATTTTAGGCCGTTTGGCTGGATTTCGTTCAAATTCGCCTCAAATCCGGCCTAAATCCTGCTACCAAACAGCCCCTAAGAGATGCTATGTTTCTACAGTTAGATCTGCTGAAAATTTGTACTCCTATTCTTAAATTAAGTAAAAAAAAAAAAAAGCGCCATTAACTCGCAATTGCATTCATACGATCTTAAAGATTATGAAAATGTCGAACAAGACCCAACACAAATTACTCAGACGCTTAATCATTATTATAATAGCAGAAAATATAGTAGAATCAAGACTTGTTGAGGAAGCTGACCATCCGCTTCATGAACTCCTCCGCCTTCAAGCTCCCAGGTTTCATAAAGAAGAAGCAATGATCCTCCCCTTCCGACTCCAGAAACTCCGCCTCCCCTTCCCACCCGCTCTCCTTCAACTTCTCGTAGTAAACCCTCCCCCTCTCCCTCAACATATCCAGCTCCGCAACGCACACCAGCACTCTCCGGCACCCCAACGTCGCCAGGCTCGGCGCACCCACTGCCACCGGATTGATCCGCGGGTCATCAAGCCCCGTCGTCTCCGGACACACAGTCAGCCACAGGGCATTGGCATTCTCCGCCTTCCGGCTTTCCCCCTTCCCTGTTTCTAACCCTTCGTTTCCAATCCTGTCCTTCCCCCAAAAGTAAGTGTGCACCAACACCAGCCCTTCCACCTTCTTCCCCTCTCTCCCAACCCTCATTCCCACGTTGTGCGCTATGTTTCCCCCCGCGCTTTCTCCGGCTATGAAAACGCTCTCCAAATCCCCAAATTTGGAAATCCAAGGGTCGTCGGCGGCGAAAACCCATTCCAGCGCCTCCCAGCAGTCGTCGTAGGCGGCGGGCAGAGGGTTCTCAGGCGCGAGGCGGTAGTCTACGGAGACGGAGAGGATGCCGGCTTTGGCGGTGAGGGAATTTATGTAGTTGTGGTAGATGGAGGACGAGGAGCGGATAAGGCAGAAGCCGCCACCGTGGATGGTGAGGAGGACAGGGAGCTTTTTGGGGATGGAGGTAGCGGAGGGCGGGAGGTAGAGGCGGGCGGAGAGGCCGGTGATCGGATTGATGGTGATGTCTTTGGATTGGACGCCGGTTGTTGGATCGTGGGACGGGGGAACGAGATCGTCAGGGTAAAGGCGCTCCACGCGGCCACTCCGGTACAGGCGGATTGATCCGGGCAATTCAAAGACCACATCGTCGGAATCAGCAGGCGGAGAGGAAGCGGCGGCGGAGTTCATGGTTTCGCTAGAGTTGGAAGGGATTCAGAGGTAGCTCTGCATCTAGACTTCTAATTAAAAGAAATGAAGACACTTATTATTATTTATTTCCAGCGTGATCCGAGGGGCGGGCGTCCGTACATCCAATTTAGATGCCTCAACCAAAATATATTGGGATCCGATATGCTTTGGTGACGTAGCACATCTGAATTGGTAATAATTTGCCGATCCGAGGACCCGGTCTGGTCATCTAAGCACATTAAATTAGCTACTTGAATTTATTTAATTGGAGTTACGTCCAGACCGCAACTAATAATTTCTTCTAAGCTATAGATATTTATTAATGAAGAAAATTTTAAGAGTTTTTTTGTTAATGGCATACCTAAACTTCTCTTAAATTATTAGTTTTTTTTCACATTAATTTAATAAAGTTTTCATATTATCATTTATCATTAATATATAGATTTCAGCTAAAGAATATTAAGAATTTTGATTAAAGCGGATTAAAATAATATTTCTTTAATTATCACGAGAAAAAAAATAATTCTTCCGTTATGCACATAATTTTGACAAAATTTTTAATTAAAAATTTGAATAAAAATAAAATTATGTTAGAGGAAATTATTACATGCTTATAAAATTTCTCTAAAATTTTAATTATACTAGTATGGCATTGTATTAAGCAACATTTAATAACTTTTACATAGTACATAATCTAGCACATGTAAAAGGTATATAATACGGTATATTTCTAACATAGCATACACAATTAAGAATCTATTTATGATGACTATAGTTTTTGCTAAACATAATTGTAAAATAATTATGAGGTAATTTTTTAATAGCTACCATAAAAAGTTGATTCTTAGGGCATTTTCAACCAAATTGCAAATGTCTGCTTGCAGCTATCATAAGTCTCCACGCGAATACTAAAAAGAAACACATTTTTGCGGTTGTGAACAGTGAAATGTTAATATTGGCGTCACACTATTCACAGAAACTTTTTTTTTTTTACGAAAATAAAGATGAAAACGAATA